CTCCTGGCTTGCCGTACATTAACATCAGATTGTTGTTCAGTGCTAACTTTAGCTTCAGGCAACAAGTTGTCTAGAGCAAAACAAAAGAAACTAAGGAAAATTTAACATTACCAGCTAACTCTGCAGAACTTAAAGATAACAGACCATGACGACTTTTGTTTGTAAAGATTTGCGCTCGTACACGGTAGCAGAAACAAAGACTTGGAGCGGCTTGTTGAGGTGCTCGAACCAAAATGACCGTATGTAAACATCTGACTGAAGCTGTTCTCCTCAGCATGTATTAATGTGTGAAGGACATTAAACATTAACATTAAACTTTATTTGATAAACTCAGTTGAACCTTTTTCATTATTTAAAAGCAGATTGAATCAAATCAAATTGTGATAAATCGATTCAGAACCTTATTAATTGAAGTTGAATCGATTTAGAGAATTGGCCACTGTACCCAGCCCTACTAAAGACATGTTAGTGGTGTCCAATCGTAGTCCCCGATGGTCCTGGTCCTGCTTGTTTTACATGGTTTTCAGGCCTTTATTTAAAATTAGTTGTTTCAAAGCAGATGAAACATTTAAAACAAGCAGAACACCACTGCTATATTTGAGGATTCTAACTCAACTTTAGTGATATAAAGTTTGACTCAATTAGCAAAGCACTCTTTGGATGGTTTTATTGGTCAGATGGGATCAATCATGCACGGAGTGGGTTTTAACATGTCTGCATCACCTTGTGAAGTCTTTGAATCATGTTTGAGCTTATAATTAACTTGATTTTGCCATAAATGTGTAAACTTGTAAATGTTGAACTAATTGAAGTTTTAATTCCCAAGTTCGTCCCACTTAATGTTTTATTTTTGTAAAATATCTAAATTTCCATGATGTCAAACGTGTTTTTAATTCATTCTCAGGGTCCTAAAAGGATAACTGCTAAGAAGGAGTCGAAGGAGAAGAGGGAGAGCATCGAGGAGAGCAAGGAGAACCTGAAAGCCAAGTCGGACGACTCGGGGGAGGAGAAGAACGGCGACGACGACTCGCAGAAAAACGGACAGAAGAAAAAAGGTGAATATCTAAAATATCTAAAAGGAAAGTTTGAAATGCTCCAAAATGTTTCAACACCTGGTTCGTTGTTTTGGAGAAAAACTCACGACTGTGTAAACTCTAAAACTCAGGTTATTAAAAAGTTGCAGCTAAAAACTGGATCCCTGTGGGTCCTACTGGTGTTCCACCACTTTCCAGTTCATGGTGGGTATTCAAGCCTGTATATGGATCTCTGTGTGGATTAGAGAAAATCCACCATAAATTCTAACTTGTGCACCCAGTTTTTAAATTTCTTTTTAATCTTTGAATTTCAGTGTTGCTACTGGACAAAACAATTATTCAAATTATGAATTAACTGATAAAAGGATGTGAGAAACGTGTTTAATGCTTAAACTGCTGACCATAACCTCCTAATTTAGTCTTTTTATGTTAACTTGAAACTGTTTTTATTTTGTTTTTGTGACAAAATAAAAAAGAGATTGAGATGAGTACAAATTGAAGTTGTACTTTGATCAGCTTTGTGCCTTTTCTCCAATTTAAAACAAAGAATTTTTAACAGCTCTTGCAAACGAATGAACAGATTTTCTCTGTTTGTATTGTTAAAATAGTAAAATAATATTTAAAATCTTCATGTGCATTCAAGTTGTGGGGCTCAGTGTTAACTGAGGGTCAGGTTTGTTGTAAGTTTTTATTTTTTTTAAATCTCTGCCTTTAGTTGTTTTTGTGAAACCACATTTCTGCAAACTCACGGTTTCCTCCCTGGAGCCTCTGACACTAATTTATCCAAACCAACACAACACTCAGGCAACCAGCTCACTGATGCTGCCTGCTGGTCAGCTTAGGTACTGCAGGAGACTCATCAGTTTTTCAAAATAAAAGTTGCACATTAACCACGTCCGTCCATGAAAATCTGCCCAAACTGAGAGACGTTGATTTCTTCTGAAAATCCATCTTTAAAGTGAGACATCAGAGATCTGCTCGTCTCTGCAGCTTGTGAGCCAGCAGTGTCTTATTTCCTGCTGCTGTGTGTGAGGAGAAAAGTTGGGTTTGTTAAAGGAAAGCTGTGAGCTCATGATTATTATTGTTTTGTGTTTGCCCAGCTGTCAATTATTACCTCGTAGATCACTTAAACTGGACATTTTAATTTATTTATATTATTAGACTCAGCTCTTAGTCATAAGTTTTAATTTAAAATAATGAAATCTAACCTCAGGAATAGTTCATGCTGCTGTAAAGATTGCTTTAAGAAAGTCATAAAGATGATTCTGTAAAGATATTAATAATATCCCAGGGTTTCCCTCAGAAAACTTGTTAGGGCCAGTGGTAGGGCCATTGTGGCAGCCCACCATGTTTTTGTTAAAAAATCTTAAAGGTTGGCAGGAAGTTTGAAAATATGATTTAATGGAACTATGTTATTGTAAGTCATTGATAATACTTAAACACCAGCTATAGCAGGGGTCAAACCTTTTTAAGACTAAGGGCTATTTCAGGGGTAAATTTACACAGCTGAACTTTAATTATAGTAATATTTACATATATGTGAGTATAAACAATGTTTGACTCCTCATGATAATTAATTATAATAATTTACTTGGGCAGGTATAATCAGTATTTATTAATAATAAATCATTAGACTCTTGAACTTGTCCAGCCTTCACCCATCCTCTGGTTAAGAACAAGGACAGAATGGATGGGGGTTTTTTTACAGTAGGAAGCATGTATATAAAGATAAAACAGTATTTTTTGCTAATCTGAATCAGTAACATTTAAAATTCAGTGGACTTTGTAAATATATTTGCAGTTTTGTAGGAATTAACACATTTGTTATTTTTCCCCCAAAATACACCTGTTATTAATTATCAACTAAAAATTTTCTAAGAAACTAACTATAAAATCTTATAATCATACACTCTTTGTAC